TTAGAGGCTGGAACATGAACATGTTTGTTTTTCTTTAGTATTTATAGATTTATTTCAGTTCTGTGTATTTTATTCAATTATTTGATTTTGCTGTTTTATTTCTTCTGTTTTATCGTCTCATGTCACATTTCTCTAATAAATCCACCAGAACACAGACAATTATTTACAATATTCACACTGAACATTATTATCATGACCAGAACCAGGAGCAGAGTCCGGATCTCAGGGTTCCTCTGTCGGTGTCTCTTCAGGAGGGAGACGTGTGCGAGCTGCTTCCTGAGGCCTTGTTGAGGGGGAGTCACACGGTCCAGCTCCGTCCAGCTGTTCTTCACATCAGGGGGCTGCGAAAGACGACGGCAGAGCGGCTCGACCGAGCTCCTCCTGACCAGCTTCGTCTGGGACTTCTGCCGCCGCCGCCCCGCCCCAGCAGAGGAAACGGGATGAAGGTGATGCAGGAAGGGAAACGGTCCCAGGACGCCTATGTGGAATTACTGGAGGGAGTGGAAGCAGAGGGGCCGACTGTAGAGTACTGGACCAGAGGCAGGGCCAGATCCAGGTACTCCTGAAGAGACGGAGACAGAGAGAACCAAAGGAGGACATGAGTTGTTTTCTACCAATCACAGGACGTAGAGACACATTAAACCATAGAAGAAGAAGAGGAAGCAGCTGCAGTCTTCACCTCCGACGATAAAATGTTTGAACCACGAGGACGTTCATTCACTGCATCTGAACTAGTGTGAGGTACTGTAGAGTACTACAGCACTGTAGTACTGTGGAGTACTGTTGTACTGTGAAGGTGCTGTTAGTGACACTATCATGACACGTCATACTCTACAAACCAATCAGAGGACGTACAGGTAGACTCCGCCCACACGTAGGTGATGAGGACAGGACGTTCAAAGTGAAAAACAGATGAAACCTGAAGAAACACGGAGCTTCAGACTCTGAACTCTCACCTGGTTCGACATGAGAGAAAGAGTTCGGTCTAAATCCTCCACCAGCTGCAGGAACGTGGGTCTGCGAGACGGGACGGCGTTCCAGCAGTCTCTCATCATCAGGTACCTGGACAAACACATGTGTGAACTTACAGCAGTCAATGTGTGACGGGGTCGCAGGACACGTGTTGGCGCCCGGTGTGAGCGGGGTCGTCGTGGACTCACAGCTCCTGAGTGCAGGCGGGGGGTTTCTCCATGCGGTGGCCCTCCTTCAGCAGCTTGAACAGCTCCTCCACAGGGACGCCAGGGTACGGAGATCCACCGAGGGTGAAGATTTCCCACAACAAGACTCCAAACGACCACCTGAGACAAAGACCACGTCACCGGTCGTCCATTACAGAAGGACTCAAGATGAAAAATGATCAATCAAACGAAAGGAGGAGAGAACGAAGCGAGAACAAACGGAGACTCACACGTCGCTCTGGTGAGTATAGACTCGGTCAAACAAAGCCTCTGGTGCCATCCACTTCACCGGCAGACGACCCTGTAACAACATCCACCTGAGTGAAGCATCGTCCAAACATTTCACTGGCGTTCAGTTCAAGTCTCCGAGCGCCACTTACGTTGGTCGTCTTCTTGTAGTAGTCGATGTGGTGGACGTCTCGAGCCAGACCGAAGTCTGCGATCTTCATCACGTTGTCCTCCGTGACCAGGACGTTTCTGGCTGCCAGGTCTCTGTGGATACACTGAGCACCAGAGAGGAGACACAGTTTAACACAGACTCGTGTTCTGACTCTGGTGTTTGTCTTCTTCATCTTTTTCGTCTTCTTTGTCTTTATTTAGAAAGACGTCGGGTGGACGGCCCAACGTCAAATCCATCGAGCAGCAGCTTCAGACTCGTTTCTTAAACATGAGACCGTATAGTGAGTGGTTTTCCACACTGACCTTCTTTGAGGCCAGGTACGCCATCCCTCTGGCCACCTGGTACGCAGCCGACACCAGCTCCCTCATCTCCAAACTGTCCAGCGGCGTCTGTCTCGAGTCGCTCCAGTACTCCAGGCCAACGGGTCGACGGGTGCGGAGGAACTCCCTCAGGTTCCCCTGCGAGGCGTACTCCACCACCACGTACAGAGGACCTGCAGCAGGTGGAGGCGTCAGCTTCGACATCATCATCATCTTTATCATCATCATCATCATCATCATCGCTCACCGTCCTGCGTGCACGCTCCCAGCAGGTTGATGATGTTCTTGTGTTTCCCGATCATCTTCATCATTTCCATCTCGGAGATCAGGTCGGACAGGTCCTTCTCTGTGGCGTCCGCTGCACACGTCAACAAAGTCATCAACGTCAACAAAGTCAAACAACATCAGAGTTTTCTTCTGTCGACTTTAATTTGGTTTCAAACTTTGAGCAGAAATCAAGAAACTAAAGCTCAGAACATGTGGAGTGATTGACAGCTGCCAGTGTTATGATGTAAATGATCTTTAAATTTTCTCATCTGCATCACATTTTTAATCTCAAACTTCTGTGAAACTTTTCAGATCCTAAAAAGTGAAACCGTTTCTCACCTTTCAGCATCTTCACTGCGACTTTAGAGACGCGAGTCGGTTTGTTTTTGTCGAGACCGACAGCCTCGGCCAGAACCACCTGACCGAAACAACCTTCACCCAGAGGCTTCCCCAGCATCAGTCTGAGAAACACACACACACACACACACACACACACACACACACACACACACGTCTGAATATACAAACACACAACAGGCCAGCAGACACACTGAGATGTCTTGAGGCGTCGTACCGATCTCGAGGCAGCTCCCACAGCGGATCGTAGGGCAGCTCGTACTCGGACACTCCTGCCAGGATGGTGGTGGCCGCACTGGAGAGACGAGACTGACGCATCAGACACATTCCTGAATGCAGGGAGGACGAGGACTCGACCGACACCTGCAGATGGAGAGACGAGGTGAGAGTCGCTCTCTCTGGTCCAGGGACAGGAAACAGAGACGGACGCAGACGTCTTACCTGTCTCCTCAGGGGAATGCTCTTGGCTAATTTCTGGACAGCGAGCTGGCCGCTGAAGTCGCTCTTTTTCGGGGAGCAGCAGAGTCTGCAGACCACCACGGTGACGGTGAGGATGATGATGATGAAAAACCCGAGGCAGTAGATGAAGATCTCCAGGTAGGTCTGGGAGGGCAGAGGGGAGGGGGGCAGGTCTGAGGTGGGGGGAGACACGTGTTACCAGAGATTCATTTCACAAGTTTGAAAGTTAAAAAGTCTCTGATCATCGTTACAAACCGTTCACGACATTGAGCCACGCAGAGTGATGAGAGACTCCGATGGAGTTTCCTGCCAGACACGTGTACTCGCCGGCGTCCTCCAGAGACACGTTCCTCAGGGTCAGGACCTCCATCTCTTTATCTGTGGTGTTCAAACCGGCCATCTGAGGACGAGAGCAACGCCACGTTAGAGAGGAGGCGCCCAGCCCACCTGACCGAGGATGAGCTCGACTGCTGCCGCCAGCATGAGGCAAAAATACAGGAACTTTTCTTTTGTTTGTTTATTAAGTTTAAATTCCTCCCAGGTCTGATGTCGTGTTGCAGCAGCTTCACCTTCTACGTCACTACAGCTTCTATAGAATGAGCTACAGCTGCACCATTAAGAGCTCAGGGACAGTTTTATTTAAATCTAATAATTTAAAAACAAGGTTCTGTGATTCATTCTTCAATAAATCTCTCTTTGCTTAAGGACCAATGTATCATTTTCTGCCACTAGGGGTCTCTCAATCACAACAATAACAAGACTCAGGGTGTTTGGAAGGTCCAAATCATCTCCTCCCCTAACCACTAAATCATCTCCTCTCCTAACCACTAAATCATCTCCTCTCCTCACCACTAGTCCTCGACCCCGATGGAATACGAGGTCAAGGAAAGTGAGATGTAACAAACTTCCACTTCAAAAACAAATGCTTGATTGACAGTACAGATATTTACAGGTTTGAGCTCAGATGTAAGAGGTCTGATGATTTCACTCTGACCTCAGTGAAGCGGCTCCCTCACCTTGAGGATCAGGACGTAGGGGTGTCCATCCGGTCCCTCCTTGCTGCCATTGACGATGATGTGTTTGAGCCACTGGATGTGAGGCTGCGGGTCGCTGAACACCCGACACACAAACTCCACGTCACTACCAACGACCACCGTCTGGTTAGCGGGCAGACCGGCCTGCAGGATCGGTCTGTGAGGAGAACGCTCTGGAAAAGACGAGTTTCAAACATGTCAGAGGACCAGAGGACGTCCTCACATCTGTTTCTCTCAGGAGACGTTTTCAGACCTGCA